CCTCCTCCTCATGCCTCCCCCTCCCCCTCCTCCTCTCCTCCTCCTCCTCCTCCTCCTCCTCCTCCTCCTCCTCCTCCTCCTCCTCCTCCTCCTCCTCCTTTTCCTCCTACCCCTCCTCCTACCCCTCCTCCTTCGCCCTCCGCTGCAAGCGCGGCAGCGCGGCACTCTGCACAGGAAACCCAGGGCTTTGACGCGCGAGCTCACGCGGGAGCTTACGCGCCATAGGTGAGAGACGGAGAGAAAACGGTCTTACGCGAGATGACATAGACATAGCACCCCCTACGCCACTGCTTACGCGGCCCGCCGACGCGGCAGCGCGGCACCCCACAAAGGAAGCCACGCGGGCGCCCTCCGACGATGAGCTATCGTTCCATCCCGGCGCTGCTCCTCGACTTCGCTGGCTCTCGGGGCCCCCTGCTGGGCCCCGGGGCTCTCGAGCACAGCGCTGGGGCGAAGGGCTGTGCCACTGGCGCTGACAGCGGGCCAGCCTTGCGCTTGGACTGCCACGGGCGTCGACGCGCGGCCTCAACCCGGGCAGCGCTTGCGCGCCAGCGTCGGTGAAGGCGCCTTGCGCTCTCCGGTGAGCCGCCTGCGGGGATGCGGCGCACGCGGGCCGCGCCCGCGGCGAGCCTGCCATCGCTCCGACGCCACTTCTCCGTGCACGTGTCGGTCTCGAGCGTGCCTGCTGTGCTGGGAGACCCTGGATGCCCCCCGCCCCTCGCTGGTCCTCGCCGAGAACTTCCCTGCTCCGTGCACGCGTCGGTCTCGAGCGTGCCTGCTCTGCTCGAGGACCCCCGGTGCCCCTCGCGGGCCCTCGCCGAGAACAGAGGCACAGGCCCGAGCGATGTCAAGGAGCGGGGGCTCTGGTGGGGGAGAGGGGGAGGGAGGGGGGGGGCTTGCTCTGCTCGAAGACCCTGGATGCCCCTCGCTGGTCCTCGCCGGAAAAGAAAACGGCACACGCCCGAGAGATGCCAAGGAGTGGGGGCTCCCGGGGGGGGGGGAATGCCAGCGGTCGGCAGGCCTGCGGCGCAGCTGCCCGCCTGGGCGGCGCCAGCGGCTCCCCGATCCTCGGGGCGCGGCGGCCTCCTCCATCCTCCATCCATCCTGGACTCATCCATCCATCCATCCATCCATCCATCCATCCATCCATCCATCCATCCATCCATTCTCCTCCTACTGCCCCTCCTCCTCCTCCTCCTCCTCCTCCTCCTCCTCCTCCTCCTCCTCCTCCTCCTCCTCCTCCTTCTCCTCCTTCCACTCCTCCTTCCACTCCTCCTCCTCCTCCTCCCTCAAGCCACCGTTCGACAAAAAAACAATCCATAGAAATGGCCGCATTCGGCAACTTTTGTCGATCGACCACTTTTTGTTGAATTCGACAGGTGTTTGTCGAATGGAGGGGTTGGCGGTTAGGTTACTTGTCAAGGCAATTCTGTTAGTTGTTAGGTTGTTTGTTGGGTTTGTTAGGTTATGGGTTAGGTTGTTTGTTAGGTCCGTTAGGTTACTCGTTAGGTACGTTCGGTTAGGTCCGTTCGGTTAGATCTGTTCTGTTAGCCTGTTTGTGGCTGTGTCGCCGTGAGCGTGTTATCCGGAATGTCTTACAACATATTCGCAGTTGACATGGAAGCCTCGAAAGATTGACGTCTTGAGGGGGCGCAGTGCGTGTCAGTTCCGTGTCGGCCTTGAGGGGTTGACTTCCTGAGGGAGCGCAGCGTGGAACACACTCTCAAGACAGGAGGCCAGGAGAGGGGATGAGGAAGAGAGGGGTTTGGACGGCGGTGGAGTATAGTTTTGTCCAAAGGATTGATTTCAGCTCTCACTCCAATGCAACAAAATATGTTGCAATCGTTTGGTTACCTACTTGCAACGCCTGCGATCGTTTTGTACAGCTGAACATCAGACGACGAATTTCCTGCATGAGGTCTTCCCCTCTGTAACACCACAACCGCCGCGGCGATGACTCGAGTAGACAGCAATGCAACAGAAAATGCGCATCAGAAACGCATGGCAGGTGTTTGCAATGTATTCCCTCACGTCCCGTGGCACGCAGAACGACGTCGTATCTACGGAGTCGATTTTCTCATCTAAGAGAACATTCAGATGCAGCAGCAACCTGATCTTTGAATATACACCCGCTCGGTTGCCAGCGCGTTTATCCCATACTTTCAAAAGTACTGGGCCCAGACACTTGATTTCCGCAGCCTTGCCCCTCAAATCGCCTTTGGCTTTGAGGCTAAGCATTGGCAATTTCAGAATGCTGAACCTGGTCTTCACCTTATCAGATGTGTACAGCTCGAAAACTTCGCCTTGCAATTTCTCCAAATTTTCCTCGGGCGATCCGCTCATCACGTAGTGGGCCAACGCGTGCAGCGCTGATCCGAGGAGCCTCTTGTCTAACCCTAAGTGTTTCACGTGCGTCCAGTCTGAAGCGACTGTCAATATGGATACGCCTGGTAGCTGAAACAAAGGGTTGCACGCATCCATTCCTAGAGCTCTCCACTGGGCCTCTGTGAAGACATCCTGGACCCACGCTGACTTCGGTCTAAAGCCGCACCACGGCATTGTACTGTCATTACACGGGCACCACGCGCAAGGCTTTGATAACGCATTGCAGTTTGGCAAACCAATACATTTCCACAAGTAATCCATATCGCCGACCAAACCCCATAGGCAAGCAAAGTGGCCACCAGCCAGATCGCCACGCTGTGACCATGGCGGCGTAGCCACACCATTTTCATCAATATCTGGCCATGTGCCTTCCCACGACGCTTCCAACGACCATTTCATTTTCTGGAAAATTGTGTCAACGTCTTGACAGCATTTGAAGACGCCTGAAGGCCAGCTCAATAGGTCCGGTGGCCACTAACGATGGCCACGACCAGATACCGGACAATTTCCCCCATGAGTTCCCTAATCCTGCCACAGGAGTTCCGTCACCGTGAATTGATATAGGAACAGCAAGCCGTTCATGATGTCTGCGAAAACGAATCGCATGATTCCGATAGTGTTTCGATCTTTGATGGCAGCCCAAAGCTTACGCAGACATGCGATGGAAGGGGCACACAATTTGTTCCCATGCTTTTGGGTTCTCGTTGCACATCTCGGCGAATAAAACATGCGACCACAAACCGTCCAGATCCTTGCAATGAAATCCAACTCTGCCTGCTTTCAGGGTCGCTTTGAACGGTGAGGGCTTGAGTGCAGACACAGGCGAGAACTTGTTCATAAGTTGTGAATGCATGTGTTGCGGGTTTCGCCCATGTGTTCCGAGCCCAGACAAACACCGAACATCGGCAACATCCAGCGTGCCTTGCGCGCAGGCCTCCAGGTCCTGCCGAGCAAGCGTCGCAATGATCTGGACCTGCCGAGGCGACATGCGCCCCCACGCCCATTCCTTCACCAGGAAACTCGCCGCGGCACTTTGCACGAGCGCCGCGGCCGCGGCTTGCTGAGCCCTCGCCCTTCGCTGGCGGCAGCCGCCGCGGCGCCCGAGGTTCTCCGCTACTCGACGCCGAGTGCTGCGGACTTGTTGCTTGAGTGGGCGCAAGGAGCCACAGCGCACGCGAGAAATCGAATCCAGCGCCGGGGGAGGAGTAACGTCACATTAGAAAGCCACGCGCCAATGTCCACCGTGCTTCCCTGATGACACTAGGCACTCCCGGCGCACCTTCAAGTCGCTCTCAAGACACTCTCAGGACACTCTCAAGACCGCTCGCTCTCAAAACTCTGAAGACACAAAACAAAAAGGGATGAGAGGAGGAGGGGGGGAGGGGAGGGGGGGAAGGAAGAGGAAGACGAGTAGGCCGCAAGGGGGGCGCATAGCACGGAAAAGGAATGCCTTGTTTTACTCTCAACCGCGCCGTGCCAGATGTCTCAGCAACGCAGATCAGCTCGGCGCGCGGACGTAGAACAGAGCAGGAGTGGCATCGGAATATGTTCTGGATTTGAGTTTGTTTTAGTTGTTTGTTTTGGAGGGGTCCTGATGGTTAATATCAGATCTGGCCGGATGAAACCAAACGGGGGTCTGCCTGTAGCCTGGGTCAAATTCAGGCCCGAATAACACGCAAAATACGTTGCCGAGGATCATTGCCCCTCGGCAGCGTGATTCCTTTGTGTTTGTGGGGTGAAAGCAACCCTGGCCCCTCCGAAAAAGGCTCTCCTTCTCCTCCTCCTCCTTCTCCTCCTCCTCCTCTTCCTCCTCCTCGTCGCCCTCCTCCCCCCCCCCCCTCTTCCTTGTGTAGAAGCACGGTCACTTCGCGAACTTCTTGGCGAGACCCATCGCCTTCTTCAGCGCCTCGCAGTCCATCGCGCGCGCCTTGAGGGCCTCCTGCGCGGCAGAAACCATCAGCTTCGAGCTGTCCGCCGCTGTCCTGAAGCGAAACATCTTCGACGGCGTATTCTTGTCCGCTGAGCAGGACTCGAGCGCGACCTCCAGCTCGTCTTTGATCGACGCCGCGGCGCATGGAACTCCATGCTGCATCATTTTGTCGAACATCTTCTCACCGTCTGCGAGGAGCTTCTCGAGGATGCAGATGGCCTGGGACAGTTTGTCGATCGCCTTGTCGGGCGCCTCATATGAGACGGCGACATGGCGCTGCTCCTTCTTCGACAGATGGAACTTTTTAGCCTGCTCTGGAGTGACGTCCTTTCCGACTATCAGCTTGCCCTTGTCCTTCGCGTCCTGGCGCGCGCCAGTCTTGATGGTGCGGATCGCGCAGTAAACGACGCCGTCAACTGTCCACTCCTGGACCCCCCCTGCCTCGATGGCTCGATCGAGACCCGCTTCTCCATCTCTGAACTTCTCGACCATGACAGACCGTGGAATTCCTGCCGAAGAGTCTTCTCCGAACTTGGTCTTGACCTGGTCGATCTCCTTCGTGTACCAAGGGCTGTCCAGCTTCAGGACAAGCTTGCCGTTCTCCTTGTTGAAGAGGTTGTTGACAATCTCTGTCTCCCTGGCGCGCTTCCCAGAAGCGTGCGAAGACGCGTCGCCCCACATCTTCTGAACCTGCGGTGGCAACTGGCCCTTGAGCTGAAGAAACTTCCTCATCTTGGGCTGCGACCTTGCCTCGTTGGGATCGGATCCTGCAGCCGCCGCGGGCCTCTTCGCGGGCGCCGCCGCCGCCGGCTTCCTCATGGGCGCCGCAGCGGGCCTCCTCATGGCCCCCAGCTGCATCCGAGGAGCGCGAGCAGCAGGCCTCATTTTAAGTGGACGTCCGGCCTCGTCATCGACCTCTGGTTCCTCGTTGCCGGCCCCCTCCTCCCCTGGGCCCTTCTGCGGAGCTTCCACGTCGGACCCCTGAAGACCTTCTTGCCTGATGTGGCCGCAGAGAGACTGCATCTCATCGAACTTGCTTAGTTTCTTTGCCATCTGTCTTCCTTGGAAGACCTGCTCACACAAAGAGTTCGTAACACTGCAAGAGGAATGTCGACTCCGCACCAGCAAAGAGACTACGCAGCTGGGCCAAATGTGGCACGGCGACGAAATTCACTGCCCTCGAGTAGTCTACGCTGCTCCCCTACTGTCCCTCTCTCCTCTCCTCATCCCTGCTCCCCTCTCACCTTGCAGCACCACCCCGCGCGATCTAGTTTCGATCTAGTTTAGATCGAAACTAGATGTTCGAATGATCTAGTTCTCATCTAGTTCTGAGCGAATTTCAATCTAGTTGTCACTGTGCATTGCGAGGGGCCGTTCGTTTTACCAAATTAGATCAAACTTGGAGCGGTGCTGGACCTCAGCTGGACCGACTGAAAATCTAGTTTCGATCTAGACTAGATCGAAACTAGATCGTTCGAAAACCTACCTTCGAATGAGATCACCAACAAAAATGATAGGACGATGCTGGTTCCCACGTTCGCGCTCACCTCACCCCGCGCACGAGTGATAGGTAGCCCCGGACAAATATAACATTTGTGGCTGATCGCCGACGGCTGAAAGCTGGCAGGGCGCCTGCAAGTCCCAACGCGCGGCCTGCTGCAAGGGAGATTGTTCATGTGCCTAACCATCGTTGATGATAGTATCTACGACAGGCTTTGGGCTGCTGCTGCTGCTGCTAACTGCTTTTGTGTCGGGTGGCACTGCAGAG